CGTACTCTAGCCGGGAATATCTCTTCCCATATCCTAAGAATCTGTGCCCAGTATGATGGGGAGGAAGTTCCCTCCTCACCCCCCCGCTCCCTTGGCCTACCCCTTTTTGCCCACCCTTTGCAGAATATCCAGAAGGTGCCTTCCATATTTGGAGGAGTTGAGAACTTCGAAAGCCCTCGTATGTGCTCCAATACTAGGGGGACCCAGCGCAAGTGGGGTTGCGTTACCAGCTTGATAATCCATTTTGATTGGAGTGCCTTAATCTGCTGCTCTGGATCCAGGATGCCCAGTCCCCCCCGATTCTTTGTTTGTGTTATTTGTTTCCAGGCTACCTTAGAAATGAAGTTATCCTTGGTCGGGTTCCCTGTCCACAGATAGGCTGCTGCAACCCTTCGGAGCCTTCGAAGTGTTGAACCTGGGGGTGACCACAGGGTGCCCGCATACCATAGCATGGAGAAGATGTTGGCATTGAGGACCAAGGCTCTCCCGTACAGGGAGGTATAAAAGGTAGACCATGCGTCCAACTTTGCTAGCATTTTGGTCTTTTGGTCAGGGGCCATGGAGTGATGTGGGCCCTCGTCCGCTAGCCTAATCCCCAGATACCTCAACGGTTGGTGTGAGGGTATGTGTGAGGGTAGCCACTCCATTCCCCCATGGTCAGGGGGCTGGGGCTGCTGGTGCTGCTGGTCGTATATAAGCCACCATCCTATCGTTTTGGGCCAGTTAATTCTCATTTMYGATGCCAACTGGAATRCTTCCATCGCTTTTGTGAGTGCTTGAAAAGAGGAATCCGTGGCCCTGATGAGTATTGTGAGATCGTCTACGAATAGTATCGTGGTGGGTAATTCTATTATACGCCCCTGCTGATCCGGTTCTGCTATTAGACGGTCGATTGAAGGGTCTTTCCTAAGGAATGAAGCTATGGCTTCCATGATAAAGAGAAAGATGGGGGCGGCTAATGGGTCACCTTGCCTCACTGATCTAGTCATTGTGTATCTATCTGAAAGATATCCGTTGACTTGTACCTGGCCATGTGAATCGTTGTATAATACTCTCACCCACTTGTGAAAGTTGGGACCTACTCCCCTTTTCTCCATACATTGCTGAAGAAAAGGCCAGTTGACCTGGTCATATGCTTTTTCGAAATCAAAGAAGAGGATGGCCGTGTTCATTCTCTTGTTCGCTATGAATCTCACCGATTCCGATAAAGTCATCACGTTGTCCAGGATGAATCTCCCTGGGATAAAGCCTGCTTGATCCAAGTG